GAGTGTGGAGCGCCGCTGTGGTGAGGGGTGAGACAGAGGGTCCTGAGGAGACGCCGTTGTCTTGTCCAAACTCCTGAACTGTTCTCCAAAGCTGCCTACAAGGTTTCAGCTCGAAGTGCAAACTCACAGGAGAACCTCAGCTGTTCCACACAGATTCAGCCGCAGTGGTTTAACACACTGTGAATAGCTTAAGATATTAAAAATGATCTTAAATTAGTTTTTACACCATTTTGGATGTACAGTATGTTACCATGTGCATCCTGAATATGTTGTGTATGTTCACTGCCCATCTTCATCAGCACAATAAGAAACAAATATACACAAATCTCACTCCCTGAGATCCCAGGGGCCCCATCACGTTTCTCAGAGAAGTATTGCCAAAATGTCATGCTCAGCAGTGCACATGCATTAAATAAACGATCAGAAAAAGGGTACTAAGGGTACTGTATCATTCTTTGTTGCTGGGGTGGTACCATTAAGGGTATATCCTTTATACTTTTAGTATTTATCTTTCACCTAGTGTATGCAGTGTACCAGGGGTGTCAAGCATACGGTCCACCAAATGATTTTAGAATCTGTGTTCTAAGTAGAATTGTGGACTGTAATAGGCTCATTGCACAAACTCGTCCATGTTCTTAGTATTGCTCCTGCATTTCCGGTTATTTCACTACACTCACAATGGCAGTATTTTACATTTGGTGTCTGCAAGAGCTCTCGATAATGCACTTTCCATGTCTCTTTCCAAACGAACTAATTTAGGGGTTTCACACTAATGGGGGTAAATACTTATGCACTTACAAAGTTTTTTATTTGTAAATAATTTAAAAACCATTCCAATCTTATGCTGGAAATTAGCATAAATTTGTTCAATGTAGTTAACATGCTAGCTAGCGAGCTACATTAATGTTATTCAAACTATTGTGAACAATGCAGATAGCTAATACTAGTCGCATAATTTAATTCTGTAGCCAGTGAAGCAAATATGCCAAATTTTAATGTTATATTGTCTAATAAGATGTGTTTGAGAAACAGCGAACCTGATAATGGCTGTGACATCTTGAATTTTTCACACACTAATGAACACCTTTTGACAAAGAATTCAACATTGCTGAGGTATAACCAAAATTATAACACATCAGTGTTCATTTTAATTTTAATTTATAGCAAATCAAAAGGGAAAAAAAATGCTAAATACAGAGGGAAAATGACAGTAATTAGCATGTATTTTAAATAAAAAACAAAAATCAAACACAATGAATGTATAATGCAATACATTTTAAATCTACATGGACCAGTTAAATAACATATCATCATCATCATCATCATCATCATCATCTGTAAATCCCTTTGTGATTCTAGTGCTAGCATGTAATCCAGTTAAATTAAAAAGTAAAAGCACCTACATTTATTAATTAAATGCCTTACTAATACTGAAACCCTTTAACCCTATATTGCATGTAGGCATACTACACTATAATAGCAAAGGACTCAGGAAACATTTTACCTTGCATGATATTACCCAGTAATCTAAGAAATAACTTGTATTTTAAATTTGTAGTATAAAAGTGAAAATTAAGATTATCATTCTGATTTTAAAGATTAATGCCACAGATTGTCGATTATAGGCAAAACAGTTTCTTTAACAAGCTTAGCATAAATGATATCTGTGCACATAATTTAAATAAATTTAATAACAGACCCTTAAATGACCAAATCTAAGATTAATACCCTCAGAGTTTAGACTCAGGTTAAACACATTTAGCGTATTAAGCAAGTAAGATTTCCTTCCTGTTACACATTGATTTATAATTAGATAGAAAAATAAAGTTTATGATTAATGTGTATTTCATTTGTTCATTTACTACTTACTCTAGGTAAAAGCACTACTGGTATTATGTAGGCCTAAATATGTCAGTCTGATTCGAATTCAGATCATGAATTGGTAAAGGAAGACTCCTACATTCAGCCAAAGGAAGACTGGCAGAAACAAGCAACAGTCTACACCAATAGTGCTGCTTTTGCTGGTAGGACGAGGTGTGGATGTTGTAGTTGTAGTTGTGGTGGTGGTGGTGGTGGTGTTGGTGGTGTTAGTTGCTGTTACAGGGGGTGCAGTGCTGGTGCTTGGTGCTGTAGCTCTTACAGATTTAAAACAGGTGGCAACATTTCCCACTGCATCCACAGCAACCAGCTCCAGGTCTGGGGAACAGCAAGAGGAGTTGTAGATGACCACAGTGACATTCACGCCTGTGTCACTGAGCACAGTGGTGGTGTTGAGGTTGCCGTTTCCCTGGAGGACTCTCACACTCTGAATGCCTGTTCCATTTCCATCAGTCACGTTGGCAGTGAGGTACCATGAGGAGAAGCTGCAGTTGCCTGAACAGTTAGCATTTATGCTAACTGCCTCACACAAGGGAGGAGTAATATCTGTTCTCTTAAAGAAGCAGAAAAACAGATTAGTTCCTGCACAATTTGCCTTTAATAGCTTGGCTGTAAAGACTATAATGTGTGGCAGCCTGTGAAAACCCTTCACATGGTGAAATGTTGACGTTTACATGTATCTCAACCACAAGTAAACGGTTAGCATTTTAAAGTCTGGGTACCAACAAAGATGAAAATGGAGGAAATTCCTATTTAAGATTTCATTCTGATTGTGGTACAGGAGCATCAGCCGGTTTCCAGTATTACAAACTGAATTGATTAGGATTATGTCTGTTTCGAAATGGGATGAATATATTCAACAACTTGATCAAATCTTTACATTTACTGTGTGAAGAAATCAGATCTAGCTAACATGGTTTTAGACATCTTTAAACCATCTCTAATCTCTAAACCATTCATCTTACTCATAGGAACAAGACAAGGATGTCCACTGTCACATTACTTTTTGCATTATTCATAGAGCCACTTGTTACAGCAATCAGAGAAAATAAAAACATTATAGGACTACAGAGTGTTGGGTCTACTCACGCCACGAACTCCACTTCCCAACCTACACCGCAGCCTACAAACATGGCCGCCACGGACTTCAAATCCCAGAACACTCACACATTGACGTTCACTTTCACCTTCATTTTAATAACACACACCTGCATCCCATTCACAGCACAATCCCAGCCACAGTATATAAGGACTTTCCTTTCACTCACTCTTTGCGAAGTATACACTCCATTTCTTGTGTTTGTTAAGCTGCCCAGCCTGTTTATCTCTCTGCTAGTGTTTCTGTTCTTGACCCAGTTTTGACTAGTGTTTTTTGATATTGTCTTGCCTCTGATATTCTGTTTGTTGATCACCTGACCTTTGCCTATCTTCTGGTTCTGACTATTGCCTAACGCATTGGATTTGTCTGCCTCGATCTCAGTAAACTCCCCTACCTGCACTCACGTGACACAGAGTAACTCACACTGTCATAAAATAAGCCTTTATGCAGTTGATATATTATTATATATATAACAAATCAATCAACATCCCTTCTGCCAGTCCATGATCTGAGAAACAGGTACAGTAAGGTGTCTGGTTACTCAATTAACTGGTCCAAATCAGAATTCTACTGCTGTCTGAGGTGCAATGGAGTACTGGGGCTGGGCATCTACCATTCAAACCAACCACCTCATCCATTTAATATCTAGGAATCCACATATCTTCAAAAATTCAAGATCTCTTTAAACTTACTTTCACACCTCTACTGCAATTGATAAAAGAAGATCTGTTCAGATGGACAAATTACCTTTATCCCTAATAGGACGAATCTCCATGCTCAAAATGAAGATACTTCCAAAAATTAATTCTCTTTTTTCAGTTATTCCCCTCCTACCCTGTCTGCCCACCCCAAAACTTGTTCTTCTCTCTCAACTCAGCTTTAAGCTCTTTCTAATGGAAAGGAAAAAAAAATGCTGAATCATACTGACAAGTCTTCAGAAATCAAAATCCCTCTGGAGACTCAATGTTCCAAATTTTTTTTACTATTTCCTCTCTAACCAACTACAGTACATTCGATCAAGAACAAGTAACACAAACACTACATGGTTAGACACTGAACAGACAATAGCCCAAAATTTGCCTTTGAAAGATTTACCATTTATAGATAATTCCATTAAAACCCATCCCTGTTACAAAAGCAGCACTGTTTATATGACTCTGACCACATGGTGGAAAGCAAACAAAATAATGTAATAAAGTAATCACACACCTTCCGCTCTAACCCCACTATGGCACAATCCTATGTTCGAGATCAACAAAAAAACCCATAATATTTCAGACATGGAAAGAGAGAGGAGTGACCAGTTTGGAACACCTATTCAGTGATAGCTTGTTCATGACCTTTGACCAGTTACAAGTGAAATATAACTTACCACGCCAGTGTTTTTTTTTCTCAATACCTTCAAATGAAAGAAGTCATGAAAGAAAAATATCAATTCCAGCACTTTCATTGTAATTTCCCTGAGCTCAATGAGAAACGAGAAAAATAACATCACAAGTATATAAACTCCTATTAGATCAGGACAAATCAACATCCTTCCCTATAGACAAGTAGTTATTGGATCTCAACCTGGAGAACACAGTAATAAATTGGCAAACCATATCTGACAATATATTCTCTATGTCTTGCAATACTACGACTCAGTGAATACAATATAAGATTTTACACAAGTCACGTTTCACCACACTTAAATTATACTGCATTGGTTTAAGCAATAGCAACAAATGTAAACCTTGCACTAATTCCATAGATGATTACTTTCCTGCTCTCTGGTCATGTCCATACATACAGTCCTTCTGGTCGGAGGTCCTGACCAGGCAGTCTGCGATCCTCGGCATCAGCATCCCACACCGCCCCTCTATCACAATACTGGGTGATCGATCATCATTCAAATATGCCAACATTACCAACCATTTGTACTAACATCATTAACAATTGCCAAAAAGGTTGTATTACTCAACTGGAAAGACAGAAGTAAAATATCCTCCCTGCACTGCCTTAACCTCTTAACAGACCATTCAACGTCTCTGTGGCGCAATCCGGTTAGCGCGTTCGGCTGTTAACCGAAAGGTTGGTGGTTCGAGCCCACCCAGGGACGGGTCCAGTTTTTTGGGGGCAGTCGTGGCCTAATGGTTAGAGTCTCGGACTTGTAACCCGAAGGTGAACCTGAAGGTCGTGGGTACGAGTCTCAGGTCCGGCAGGGATTGTAGGTGGGGGGAGTGAATGACCAGCGCTCTCTCCCACCCTCAATACCACGACTGAGGTGAGACCCTTGAGCAAGGCACTGAACCCCCAACTGCTCCCCGGGCGCCGCAGCAAAGAAGGCTGCCCATTGCTCCGGGTGTGTGTTCACGGTGTGTGTGTGTGTTCACTACTGTGTGTGTGTGTGCACTTGGATGGGTTAAATGCAGAGCACAAATTCCGAGTATGGGTCACCATACTTGGCCACACTTCACTTCACTTCAACATTAGAAAAAATCACAGCAGCCATTAAAAACAGGAACAAATCATATGTAGACACTTGGTCCCCAATGCTGACATACATGGGAGCTGATACCTCCTAGTAACAATGAACCGCTGATATAATTTTATTACATATACTGTACGTATATATATATATAATTCATAGGGATAAATTCACAGTGATAAATTTAAATATTTACAATATATTTTTGTGAATCCATTTATTTCTGTAAAGCTGCTTTGTGACAATGTCCATTGTTAAAAGCGCTATACAAATAAAATTGAATTGAATTATATATATATATATATATGAAATTGTGAATTGGTGAAATTGTATCCTATCCTGATGTCCCTTACCTTAAATTGTTGTATACTGTCTCCTATTTTTTCTTTTCTTTTTTATGTTAATTGTCTTTGTTATTTGACTTGCCTTGTTGTTTTGTCCTCTTCTTGGTCTGTCTAACCCCTGTCCCCATTACACATTAAATAAATAAATAAATAAATAAATAAATAAATAAATAAATACATACATAAATAAATAATCTGACAACACTGTGACAACATTGTGACACTAATGTTGTAATGCACTATAACACATAAGTATAGTATCTGCATTGTAAGTTATCATGTATTATTAAACATGGCTTTGTTTATGAAATTTGAAGTGTCAAAGTATGTTATACACAGAAAAACCCAATTTTGGCCCAAACCAGATTTTTCATCTTTCTTGGCTGCTTGCCAGAACCATAGTAACATCTGACAGGTTTTCCCAGATTGCCACAAAATTAGGAAATAAATATCAGAGTAGCAGTGGTATTGAGGTTTAATGTTATGACTTCGCAGCTTTGAAATCTCAAATGTCCTTCTATTTAACAACTGAATTTAAGCGTTGATAATTCCTGTGACAGCATCCTGGAATGTTTAATGTAATGTGAGTAATTACCGGAGCAATAACAGCAAGACGCAACACAGCGTAGTTGGAGTCGCTTCCATCAGGTGCGTCAGCCTGGATCGTCACAGTGACATCAGTTCCAGAGGAAGTATTTTCAGGAACAGTCAGAGTTACTGTACCATTCGCACTGCCCCCACTCTCGAGAGTTAAAGATGTGTTAAAGAGAGTGTCAAAATTGCGATCATTGCTGACTTTGATATTAAAGCTTCCTCCAGAGCTGTTGGTTGCCACTGTGAAAGGCAGAGTGAATTGTTTTCCTGGTTCCACTGTTCCAACAGGTTCAGTCTAAGGGTAAGTAAAAAGAAAGTAAATATATTTTTTCAATAAAAATCTTTAAATGCCATTATAATCAGTCTTTGCAAACTTTGAACACATGAACAGTTTTCATGTGCAGTAAATACTGTGAACCAAAAGGAATGCTGGACTCTGTGCTTAATAAATAGAATTCAAGAAACTTTTGGAATGGACACATTGACTCTTACGGTGAGTATCAAGAAAATACACCGTTCTTCCTCAAAATGAGAAACTGTAAAAACCAGTATATATCAATTTTTGTGAACCTTGATTGAATTTGATTATTTGCTGGATGGAAATTGCTACGCTGATCTCATAGTCCTTTGCAAATGTTGATTAATTAGCTTACATCATCATCATTATTATTATTATTATTATTATTATTATTATTATTATTATTATTTGTTTAAGAATATTTTTTTAATTTAAACTTACAGTAACGGTCACAGTTGATGCTTGGAATTGAGTTGGTGACTGTCTCTGAAAGGTGCTATCTGAAGATCTAGAGGAACCGATCTGTCCAACTACACGAACAGTAAACTCTCCTGCTGGGATGGTGTTGAAGGTCACCAAGTACTGCCCACTACCTACGTCTTCTAGTATCCCATTTAAAGAGTTTGAACTTGAGGCTTCGACCAGAGACAACTCTGTAAGCTTCACACTGCTGCCACCAATCATGGTCACCAACACCGTGACATTGGTTTCTGAATTAAGGAAAAATAGATTAGAAATATAATCAAAGTTTTTGATCACAACCAACTTGTTATTATTATGATTATGGAGAGTTGTTCATTTACTTGCTGTAGGCCTGCTGTTTAATACAGCATAGCTTGGATGAGGCCCCTGGGAAAGTTCTACAAAGTCAGAGAGGAAGCTAACCTCACTTTGACCTGGATAGAAAAAGAAAGTACACTGTGTGCACAATTATTAGGCAAGTTGTATTTTTGAGGATAAATTTTGTTATTGTACAACTACAGTGCTCTTGGTCAATCCAAAATGTTAACAAACCCTCAAACCTGAACATGTAAGTAGTAAAAGTGAAGTTTTGGCTTTCTTAAGAGAATATCTACATGTACACCAGTATTAGGCAACTATTAGTGTGCAGAA